TCTCTAGTGAATGGATAGGCTGCATTCTCAGTGATGTCACCGGTCTCTAGTGAATGGAGAGGCTGCACTCTCAGTGATGTCACCGGTCTCTACTGAATGGATAGTCTGCACTCTCAGTGATGTCACCGGTCTCTAGTGAATGGATAGGCTGCGCACTCAGTGATATCACCGGTCTCTACTGAATGGATAGGCTGCATTCTCAGTGATGTCACCGGTCTCTAGTGAATGGAGAGGCTGCACTCTCAGTGATGTCACCGGTCTCTACTGAATGGATAGGCCGCATTCTCAGTGATGTCACCGGTCTCTACTGAATGGATAGGCCGCATTCTCAGTGATGTCACCGGTCTCTAGTGAATGAATAGGATACATTATTAGTGAAGTTACTGATCTCTTGCGAATGGATCTTGCTTGCATAAATCGGCTGCATTCTCCATTGCTGGTCTCTGGTGAAGGGATAGGCTAAAGTACTAAAGATAATAATGTTGCCCACAAAAGCGTAGCGCAATATATTAGACCACCAATAGCTGTTTAGGATGTACATAAGGATACAGTTTTGAAATATGGAGCTCGGATACAATCTAATGATACGTTGTTGACAATTTATTTTGTGATGTTTCATTAGATTTTATTGAAGATTCCGTGGCCTTTGCCCCATGCATCTGTTTTGTCATGCTGTTGTAAATGCGTGTCTCCATGTTTCATCACATGCACTGGGTGTCTGCAGCATTACTCTTATATTTGCATTGACCTCTGTTGAGCTTTCCTCATTTTAATAACCATATATGATTCCTCTGGGCGCCGTCTTGCTAGAAGCTAATATGGAGCGTAAGAAATCTTTCTACTTTTTTTTTTTGTCAGCAAGCTATTTCATATTCACTTAAAAGAGTCTTGCTGTGCTTTTCCCTCAAGCCATCAGTTCAGAGGGTCTAACGGAGACAGGTTATGGGATATGGAAAATATCAATCACACAATGAAGCCAGAAAGCTATATTTAAAGGAGAATGCCAGCAATGGTTTGAAATTCTACAAGGAGCCGTAAATATGGTATCTTGAATGGATAGGCTGCATTCTCAGTGATGTCACCGGTCTCTAGTGAATGGAGAGGCTGCATTCTCAGTGATGTCACCGGTCTCTACTGAATGGATAGGCCGCATTCTCAGTGATGTCACCGGTCTCTACTGAATGGATAGGCCGCATTCTCAGTGATGTCACCGGTCTCTAGTGAATGAATAGGATACATTATTAGTGAAGTTACTGATCTCTTGCGAATGGATCTTGCTTGCATAAATCGGCTGCATTCTCCATTGCTGGTCTCTGGTGAAGGGATAGGCTAAAGTACTAAAGATAATAATGTTGCCCACAAAAGCGTAGCGCAATATATTAGACCACAAATAGCTGTTTAGGATGTACATAAGGATACAGTTTTGAAATATGGAGCTCGGATACAATCTAATGATACGTTGTTGACAATTTATTTTGTGATGTTTCATTAGATTTTATTGAAGATTCCGTGGCCTTTGCCCCATGCATCTGTTTTGTCATGCTGTTGTAAATGCGTGTCTCCATGTTTCATCACATGCACTGGGTGTCTGCAGCATTACTCTTATATTTGCATTGACCTCTGTTGAGCTTTCCTCATTTTAATAACCATATATGATTCCTCTGGGCGCCGTCTTGCTAGAAGCTAATATGGAGCGTAAGAAATCTTTCTACTTTTTTTTTTTGTCAGCAAGCTATTTCATATTCACTTAAAAGAGTCTTGCTGTGCTTTTCCCTCAAGCCATCAGTTCAGAGGGTCTAACGGAGACAGGTTATGGGATATGGAAAATATCAATCACACAATGAAGCCAGAAAGCTATATTTAAAGGAGAATGCCAGCAATGGTTTGAAATTCTACAAGGAGCCGTAAATATGGTATCTTATATGCATGAGTATTTTGCTTTCGGATGCACTGAATGGCAAAAAAAAGCATCAAAAATGAAACACAAGGCAAAATGGCCAATGTGTATGTAGCGCTCACCCCCGAAGGAGCCGCTGAATGCCCGGTTCATCTCTAGTCTGTCTAGGGTATGTTCTTCAGCTGCCCACCCATTAGCACTAACCGCCCTTCTTCTAGTGCCCACAAACTGGTGTCCACTCCAGTAATAAAATGCTGAATAATATTTTATTGAACATTTTCACTGGGGAGAGAGGGTATGGGGGGTTCTAAGCTTCCAGGGTATAACAGACATAAGCTCCAGACTCACCAGACCTGGTTGGCATATCAGTGTAGATCCACTTGGGAGGCAGCAGATGGCGACTAACGTAGCAGATAAGCAAGGATGAATACAGATCCTCAAGCAGGAAAGACACCAACCATACTCCTGAAGTCCTCTTAGTTCCAGGGTACTTCAAGAGCCAGCATTGGTCCCGGTTCTCTTCCCCAGCAACACAGACCTCCTCCATGTTGGAGGTCTCAGGGAAACCTTTCCCTCACACCAGCCTATGCCCACCCCCAAGCCTAGCCTGGGGGGCAGGCTGAACAGCAACCAGCCCTTTTCCATGGCTGGACCCGGCTAGTCTGAGCACATGGCAAATCCCACCAGTATATTACCCTATCCCAGCATGCACCACTGACTGCGAGAAACCCAGTGATTGGCTGCTGTAGTGTACATACACTACAGTGCCTCTCATTGGCTGTCCCACAATATGACAAAGTCACACTCCGCCCAGGGGGGTACAGGCAATGCCAGACACCTGGAATTAACCAGATAACTGCCACTATAAATCCAGCCAGGCTGACTACAGCTATGGCTACCACTAAATGCCTAGTAGCCACATCATAGAAGGTGATGGGGCTACATGTATATACATTATGTATGCAACCACCTCTTTGGACTTCATCTGATGAAGACACTTAACTGTCATGAAATCCATTAAGCAGCGTTTGCTTTATTTTATACTCAAATACACAGGCCTTTGTCTGTCCTTGTTAGTAAGAATATCCTTACCAATCAAGAGATTTTCAATTAATGTAAAACTACACTATATGACCAAAGGTTTTGTGGACACCAACACACCTATAGGAGATTGATGGACATTCCATTCTACAACCATGGCCATTAATATGGAGTTGCCCCTTGTTGTGGCCTTCAACATCCTCCATTCTTCTGGGAAGGCTTTCCACAAGAAGTCGGATGGTGTCTAGGGGGAATTTTTCCCATTTGTGAGGTCAGGTGCAGATCTTGGACAAGAAGACGTAGCTCACAATTGGTATTCCAATTCATCCCAATGGTGCTCAGTATGGTTGAGGTCAGCGCTCTGTTGAAGGACACTCAAATTTCTCCACACGAAACTTGTACATCGAGGACAGTCATGGTGAAACACAAAAGGGTCTTTACCAAACTGCTCAGACATGTCTTTATGGAGCTGGCTTTGTACACAGGGGACAGTCATGGTGGAATAGAAGAAGGACCTTCACCAAACTGTTATCAAAAGGATGGAAGAGCACACAGTGAACATTTCATGTTGCCTTATCAATTTAAAGTAGAATTCAAACCTCTTTTGTTTGATTACCTTTCTTGTGTATAGGGGGTGGTGTGGTTGTTGGAGCTTCTGCTGTGTGATTGCTGTCTGTGTTGCCGTTAGAGGGGGACATTTTCTATTACAATGATTCTGGAGAAAATCAAACACAGGAGACATGCTTGCTGCATCAACACTGAATTGTTGAACTTGCACAATTGGTGGCTGACTAAATACTTTTTTGCCCCACTGTATATATGGTATACAGTACTATGTAAAGATTTTAGGCAGGTGTGCTGTAACTCTGTAAAGTAAGAACGTTTCAGAAATAAAAGTGTTAATATTTTATTTTAATCAATGAACAGTAAATGAACAGAAGATAAATCCAAATCCAATCAATATTTGGTGTGACCCCCTTTGCCTTCTTCTAGGTACACTTGCATTCAGGTGTTGAAGGAACTCGGCAGGTAGGTTGTTCTAGGTACATCGTGGAGAACTAAGCAAATATCTTCTTTGGATGTCGGTTGCCTCATATCCTTCTGTCTCTTCATGGAATCCCAGACAGACTCTAGACATGTGCGATTAGTTTCGTTACGAATCGAAATTCGTACAAATTTCCTGAAATTCGTAAATTCGGAAGCATCCGAAATCCGAATTGCAGTTTCTGAATTATATCCGAAATACGAAATTCCGATAACGAATTTCGGATCCGAATTTCGTTGAAACGGGAACTAATATTACCCCTGTAAATGAGGTTGAACAACATGACAAGATTTTTTTTTTTATCCGAAATGCGAAATTCGGATCCGCTGCTGCTGAGGGTTGCATTACAATACAGGCAGGAAATACGAAATTCCATTAACGTATTTTCGTTCCGTTACGAACATTCGTCATGATGAAGTTAAAAAGCAAAATACCTTTGTTAATATATTGGAGTTGATGGTAGTTTTTTTTATTTTTTTATTTTATTTATACGGAATTTTGTATTTCGGATAAAAAAAAAAAACTACCATCAACTCCAATATTACCAAAGGTATTTTTGCTTGTTAACTTCATCATAACGAATGTTCGTAAAGTTACGAAAATGTGACAAAACTAACAAAAATTCGTATTTCGTACGAATCCGAATTGAGTTTCGGACACGAATTACGAAATACGAAATAACGCATATTCCGAAACGAAACAAATTTTCTGACGGCGCACAAGTCTAACAGACTCCATGATGGTGAGATCAGGGCTATGTGGGGGCCCAACCCTCACTTCCAGGACTCTGTGTTCTTATTTCCACTGAAGCTGGTTCTTAATGACATTGCTTGGTATGTTTGGGGCCCTTGTCCCGCTGCAGGATACATTCGGGGTCAATCACACGCTTCCTTGATGGTATGGGATGATGACGTACACATTGCACACCAGTCCACTCTCCCTTATGGCTGAAAGACATAAGCATGGTCTGCATTAAAAAAAAATCTCCCAACAGTACCTGGAAGTAAGGGGGGAGGGGGGGGGGATATGTTACAATGGCACCTGGAAGAGACCCATATAACAACTGCAAAAAGGTTTTGCTTTCTTCATTTTATTGCCTGGGGTTCATCTTTAATCTCATTGATGATTACATTCTGTCCTTATAATTACAGTCTGTCCTTATCTCTGAGGCTTCTTTATGTGAATGGCAGGCAGAGTGCGGAGACACAAATCTATTCATGAGATGTTTATTGCAATAATCCGCAGAAATGTTATGTGCTAATTAAACCTGTTGTCATATTGATATCGCCTCCCATAGAAAATCAATCTTGTTTCGTAGTAGCGAAAAAGAAATAGCTGGTAGGCAGTCGGCAAAGAGGACTAGAGCTTTTTGTTTTACAGCTTGTCAATATATTTGCTTTATGTACTTTCTGTTGTTTTTTAGTTTTTTTTTGTAACCTGCCAGTGTGCCATACTGGCAGCTCCTTGGACAGCCCTGTGTATATACGCCGATCAGCCATAACATTCTATCCACTGAGAGGTAAAGGGAATAACATTGATTATCTGGTTGCAATGGCACCTGAAAGTGGGGGAAAATATTACAATGACACCTGCAAGTAGGGGGGGGCATATTACAATGACACC